CCCCCAAAATTGTATAGGTAATTATTAAGGCCCCTATAGTATATACCTCTTCAAGCCGACTGCGCAACCCTCTCTCTCTCTCTCTCTCTCTCTCTCTTTCTCTCTCGTCTCGGCCTGCCGGATGTCTTTCGTCAAGTCGATGTGAACCACGGGTGGAGACGTCGCCCGCACGACTGCGCAGGGATCTAGAGCAGGTGCTTAGGATTTAGGGTTTAGGTGTCTAAGTGTAAGGTTTATTTTTGCTTATAGGGTTTGGACATGTTTGGAGTTCATTATGCATTCATGATGTCAGGCGTCACCGTAGACACAAACAGTTAATATGTGAACATCAAGTAGACCATACGAACTTTGAAACGCTAACCACGAGTTACTAGTTCAGAGGCCTTAAACAAATGGGAGATAGTTCCGTTAGTGTTCGTAAGGCTCCCTGTGCCCAATGCATCCAACAAACATCAAATACATGTACATATTACATATATATATACATATATATATATACATATATATATATATATATACATGTAGTTTCATATGTATCTGTATGTATATGAACCTCGGCCACAGAGTATCCCCCTAAGACTGGCGAACACCTTTGAAGCCAAAGACTCACTGGATAGGCCGATGGACCCAAGCCTTCAGGGTATCCAGACCCCCACGCCCCAAAACTCTCTTCTTCAACAACTGGGCCCCAAAAAGTTCGAACTTTCTGGGATAGAGCTAATATGTAAGGCCAAAAAATTTCAAGTTCCCCCGTTCACAGTGCAAGAAAATGGTGGCTGCTTGGCACTTTGCCTCGGAAGGAGCCGCTAGAAGGCAGTGGCGCCGAGTAGAGCCGCGGGGAAGGTGACGGAGAGCGAAAACCTTAGGGTTGCGCAGAGGTATTGGGAGGCCCTCTCCAGTCTTGGAATACTGTGTGTTGTGGCTTCGCATCCAGTTTCCTGTGAGCAGTTCAAGGCTGTTCCCTGAATACTGGCCCCAACTAATTAGTCAGAAACCTGCCTGTAGTCTCCATTGTGTTCCTTTTGTTGGTTAACCAAAGTCCATATTATAGGATCCTTACCATAAAACTGGTTAACCAAAAAAAGGAACTACAATGGAGACTATAGGTAACCACCGACTCAAGCCAGCTTTGGTCGGATGAGTTTTAAATGTTCGGGATCGGTGTGATCGAGGCAATTTGGCAGTGTCAGGGCTTCGTCTGAGGCTTTGGGTTTACTGGGGTCAACAAGGAAAATTAAAATGCTTGCAGTAATTGCATCAGTGTTTCTTGGAGGGTGGGTGTATAGTTTTCGACCAAGATTGCTTGCGGGACCTGCGGTGAATCGGAGCAACAGTCTATCTAGCGGTGGCAAACGCGCAATGCGGCAGGTGGGGGTTAACCTAGCTAAACCCTAAACCCTAAACCGTGGCTCTGCTACCCTAAACCCTTAAACCCTAAACCCCTGGGGCCGGCTGAGCTTTACCATGTGGGGTTATAAGTCCCGTAATATGGGTTATAAGTATAGTGACCCTACTCATAACCCTACTTAAAAGTACCCATGAACCTCCAAGTACCAACGCATGATCCCTATTCAAATTGTGTTTGAAGCACCTCTAGGCAGGCTTCGAATCCTAAACCCTGAACTTTAGACCTCATTAAATCCTAAATCCTACATCCCCTCAACCCCAAAACCCTAAACGCAACCCGCAACACTCTGAACCCTTGCCGCCCAAAGAGCTGGTAGTGCTGGACAGAGTGCGTGGCCTGCCGGGCGAGGCCCCTTTAACAATCCCTGGGTCGAGGGGGACTTACTTGGAGGGTAGGGGGACTTAGTAAGTAGGTAGTAAGTAGACTTTTAAGTACCCTAAAAGGGAGCCTAATTGGGGTTATGGTACTTATAAGTTCCTAAAATAACCAGTTACTAAGTCCCCCGACCCTCCAAGTAGGGGTGTTTAGGGTTTCGGGCTTATTGGGGGGTTGACAGGTGTTCAGGGTTTGGGGCTTAGGGGGTGTAAGTTTTAGGGTTCAGGGCTTAGGTGGTTTAAGTTTTTAATAACAATCCAATGTTTTGGGGTGGATATAGGGCCAGGGTGATTTAATCAGGTTCCTTACTTAGGTGTTCTTGTCATGCCTAGATATATCCTCAGCCCCATACCCTATAACCTTAAACTCCTAAACCTAGGCAGCCCGAGAAAGCAACACCTCACACAACACGGGGCTCTTGTCAGGAATCTAATTTACGTGAAACCTCACTATAATTACTATAGATCCGTTTATGGTAACTTAGATTAGATTTCTTAACAAGAACCCAGAAGAGGGCAACTGAGAAAAAACAAAAAAAAACTCCGTTGAAAGCAACAATTCGCGGAGACCCCGAACACCTCAGAGGACCTGAACCATATAAACGCTCAAACGACGCGCGACAAAAGTCCGAATCCAAAAAAGCACACACCGTGAGAAGACTGTAGGGTGCATGGCTTATGCTCTTAGGGTTGTCATAAGATCCCCATTCGGGCCCTAAACCCTAAACCCTTGAGACTTCTTTCTGGGCGGATGTACTGCTTCGGGCATGCGGATTAACGAACCCCCAGTCAAAGGCCCAAACCCCGCGTCCTTGTTAGGGTTCTTTATATGGGTGGTTGTCAAAATTAGGGTCCCTTTTTGGGCTCCCTAAACAATAGGTGCCGTATTATAATAGGGACCCAAAAAGGGACCAGGTTCTTTAATGTTCTTCTAGGCGGGGCTTTTAAAGCCTTTGAAAGACATTAGCAAATAAGATCCTCTTAAGTCCAATAAGGGAGAATGAAATGTCCCAAAGCCCTACCTAGTGGGTTCTTTATATGGGTGGTTGTCAAAATTATGGCCCCTTGTTGGGCTCCCTAAATAATTGGTGCCGTATTATAATAGGGACCCAAAAAGGAACCATAATTTTGACAACCACCCATATGAGCCTTACTATTTTGGGGTTGCGACCAGGGTCTGGGCAGTTACCAGAGTAAGGAGGCCCTTGCACGTATATACTGCGGAGCCTTATTATTTTGGCAACTCCAACCAACTTCCTTAACAAGAATTAGTACCAAAAACCAACCTAATGGTAAATTGGAGTGTCCGAGAGTTTAGGGTAAGGGTTTAGGGTTAAGGGGTCAGGGTTTCGAGAAAGGGAGGTGACTCCTTAACTTCCGGGCTTGGGGGGGTCTCGGGGCTTTGGCGGGCTTTGGTCCTCCGCGTAGTTGGGGATTATCCTCTCACACTCGAACTTCCCGTCACATGATGGTAAGCAGTTGGAAAGAATGAAAGCAACTCACTTCGGCACGACGTCGTCACTCAGAACAGAACCTGTATTATGTTGCACAGGCACGACACCCCTCTGCAACATAGCCTAATAAGCGTCACACACGTAAGAACACCCCGTCGCAAGCCGACAACACTGACACTCGGTCACATCGCAGCACTCAGCGGCCACAATGCACAGCTCCGGCACTGGCAGGGAAAGGACAGCTATTTATTTTCATGCCTGGACGCTGCGAGGAGCGCACAGAGGTATTGAAAGCACTTCTTCAGGCTTTCAGCGGCAGATTGCTGCCTTCTGCAACCACCAGCTTCCATGTACCGAAAAGTCAAGATCTCGAGCGCCAAGCATATTCGGCTCGCCATAAATTAGGACGAATGTTGTCAGACTTGTCTTAGAAAGAGTGCTTGTTAGACTACTTTCTCCGTGCAAATATCATCTTTTTGCCGCTTGTCTGACTTCCGGATAATCGGATATGGTGGTGCTCACACCAAAATGCCAACACTCTAGGATCAGAAAAGGAATCCGTAAACTTGCATCGTAGCACTGGAGGGCTCTTGACTGATGCTTCCTCCATCTTGACTACAGGCATTTAAAGGACTAACCGAGCGCGCGTCAAACACAGACGCGGTTGAGATGAGCTTGATTTTCAAGCTCCCTTTGTCAATTTAGGGGCCTGTTTCCGATCATTAAGTATCTATGGCCTGCTAAACTCAAATCCCTCTATTAAGTGTATTCAGGCCCCCAATTGCAGAGGCCTTGCTTCACGAAGCCGAAGGCATCCGAGGACAAGACAGGATGCACTCTGCACGACCCACGCACTTGCAAAGAACAGGTGGGTGGCTGGAGGTGGGTGGTTGTCAGTTCTGGTCCCTTTTGGGGTACCCTAAATAATAGGTGCGGTATTAATGGTAGGGACCCAACAAGGACTATAACTTTGACAACCACCCAGGTATCAACATGACTTTCTAGGGCAGACATTTGAGAGCAATGTAGACCCCTTGAGAAGCAACACCTGTTTTTTACAGGACCTAGTATGAGCATCCCTAGTGCAATCCCTATTGTATATTCCCATGGGGAGAGGGGCTTAGCAGGCTTAGCAATCGGGGGTCTACATTATATGATTCGCTCAAGTCCTCCGTCTGTCTTCCAGGTCATCCAGGCATCGGCCAGTTGTTGCGAAGTCTTCTTTTTCAAAAAAACGCAGGAGCCTGAATCCTTAATAATGGACTGAATAGGGTTTGGGCATGTTTTACCATGTCATTACCAAGTACTCCGCCACATGCCAACTCCCATGTTCCCCCTCTATCTGGAGGCTCGGAGGGGGAAAGCAAACGGCAGATAGAAGCTAAATGGACGAACAACATGACGGCCGGCCTGTTAGAATAGAAAGCGGGCCCAATCAGCACCATGAATGCGAGGCTGCTAACAGCTCCCCCGACTTTGGGGGTGTTGTCGCCCATCCGGGGAGTGCACAAAGTCAAAGCACTGGTTGCTTTCACAGATAATGAAAGGAGGATTTTTGCCGGTGGCCCCCAGATATTCGGGCAACTCCAGATTTTGCAAAAAACGCGGTCTTGAGGCTAATCTAGCCTTTGTCACGGGGCATCCACGGGCCTGTTTTGTTTAGATTCAACCGAAGCTCTGGATCCTTCGCCCCGGACGCCCCTGCGTGCACGTAGGATTTCGTAAAGGGCCGTTGAAAACATCTGAGCCACTCGAAAGCCGATTTCACCCTCTGCGCCAGAGCCAACCCATTCTTGCTGCCGGCACATCGGCCGAGCCGCCACGGAAGAGTCGGACCTTATGCTCCAAGTCTGCGGAGGATGCTGACACGGCCTTCAGAAACCCCTTCATGCGGATGTTGTGATGGTCATGCAGAAGTCGATTTGGCGGGCGATTGTGGTCTGTGTCATCTGCCCATGATCGCGAGAAGAAAGAGTGGCGTGAATCGGTCCCGGCATCTCCATCCTCAAAATCCACCATTTCCTCGAGTGTGGATGGCATGCAAGTACTTGAACGAGAATCCAAAGGCGACTGCTTACCTGCCGTGACAGTGAGATATTCCTCGGGCTCGCAAGGCTCTTCGTCCAAAGCATGCTCCTCGGGCTGCACGGCCAAGACGCTGTGGAGTACGTCGATTCCAAGGCTCTCTGGTTTGCAAGGCTCCGGCAGCTTTGCAAGGGCCTCAAAAACGGGGACGACTCTAATCATGGTGGAAAATCAAGGGCTCCAGATCCTTCGACACCTCCGAGCCAAAGGCTTACCATACCCGCAGAACAAGAATTTTCATTAGTGCAAAAACAACACCACCTGGGTAAATGTAGGGGCCTGAACAATTACTAATACTATGTTTTTTTGGGGGGAGGTTCCTTATTATACTTATAGTGGGCATGGGCCCCAAAACCCTATTCTAACTCTTAAGCTCAAAGCGGAGAGCTCTCAAGGCTTGCAGAGTTCCAGAGGAAGTTTCTCCAGCTTTCATTACAATGATGGTGTCTTGAATGAAGGACTGTGCTGAGCTCAGAAAACCTGACCCCTACACCCTATAAACCCTATACCTGAAACCCTGAACCCTAAACCCTGCTCAAAACACGAAATGCCTCATCCTTGGAATGCCTTTACTTTAAAAACTCGCAGTCCTTCGAGGCCCATCCCCCTTCCCAGAAGGCGCCAACTCCGCAAGGTGACCACACGAGGAGTCGTGGAGGCTGGCCCCGTTCTGCCTTCAGGGCAGTCTTCTCTCAGAAGGTTCAAGGCTTTGGCTCCGGGGTTTTAGGGCTTTGGGTTCAGGGGGCTTAGGTTTGTATAGCCTACTTGGACGTTCAGGGGTTGTTATAAGTGGGGTTATAAGTCCCCTAATATGGGCTGTAAGCATAGTTACCCTACTTATAACCCTACTTATAACTTATAACCACCTATGAACCGCCAAGTAGGCTTTTCAGAAGGGGAGGTTCAGGGCTCCGGCTCAAAAGGTTTAGGACTCAGAGTTGAACCTGCATCAAAGGAGCAGGCGACGACAGAGATGCAGCGAGGGCTGTAGGGTTGTCTACAGATGCTTTGACCAAGGGCCCATGGACAAAGAAGCTCTAAAATCAAGGCTTGCAGCTTTAAGCCGTAAACCCTGTTTGAGTTTTTTTAAGAGCTTCCAGGATTGGCAGGCAGCAGGCTTCTCATATTCACCTTTTCTCCTCTTCTCTGCCAATACCCTACGGTTTCGCCCGGCCTTTAGGGTTTACGGAAAACCCTAAATTCCAAACCCTCAACACCTCAAAACCCTACCCTAAACCGCCGGAACCCCAAGGCCCGGAAGTCCTGAACCCCCAAACTCCCAGCCTAAGGGTGCCTGTACCCATAGAGTATACCTTAAGCTACCAATTCCATACTGTTGATGATACAAATCCTGCATTACCTTAATGGCCTTAGACTATGGGAATTATGGTATATTCCTTATAATGGGTAATGCAGGATTTCTATCATCAACCGTATTAGGGCCTATAACAAGAACCAACAAAAAAAGGTAGGTGTTGATAGTTGAAGGTATACTTTGGCCCTAAAGTACTTACATAGGGAGTACTCTTTTCACTTCTCGGCTTCGGCTTCGGAAACATAGCTTTCCCTTCCCACACAGTTTAGGTCTTAGGGGTTTAGGGTTTAGGGGTCTTAGGCCTTAGGGTTCCTTTAAAGGGATCTATAGGGCATCCTTTAAACAGGGCTTTGTTTAAAGTGGTTTTTAGGCTTTAGGCTTTCTGTGGGGCTGTGGAGATGCTCAGGCCCTCGTAGCCTTCAACGATACACGTCTTCGCCAGTTTAGGGTTTAGGGCTTAGGGTTTAGGTTTTAACCCTAAACCCTAAACCCCTAAACTCCTAAACCCTGCAACCCTAAGCCCTAACCCCTGAACCCCAGACCCCTGAACTCTAAACCCCCAAAAACTAAACCGCTCGGCAAGTCGTACAAGACAGCTGGCCTAACTTGGTCAATGACACGGCTATTCTTGTGACAATGGAAGTGCTGCAGGATTTGTAACCGTAGAAGCAGACAGTGCGGGCTTGCTATATCGCAAGATTTGGGGCCCTATACGCCCTCAACAGATCCAGGCTTCTGGGGCTGCAATCTTTGGGGTAGAGGGTTTAGGGGTTTAGGGTTTAAGAAAACAGGACTTGCATTGTTTGGGGTAGCTTAAGGGATTGGGGATCTGACTGAGTTATGTTTGCTTTCAGTCAGGGCCCCTGTTCACGACGGACATGAGAAAGCCTTACTTATAACTTAGACAACATGCGCCCCTGATACACCTGGGACACGTTGGACCCTTTTGCTCTGTATACTAGGATGCTTACCACAGTGATCCCCCAACAACCCAAATGAGTCACTGCCATGGTATCCTAGATCCCAGAACAGCTGTCCTGAGCATGATACACCTGGGTCGGAAGAACGAGCCCCTAGAAAACAATACCAAGGTTGCCCCTTTGCTATATCTCCGCGTTGTGAAGGAGACTCAGCGGTACTAGTACGAAGGATATACAAGCGTCTGTTGGGGTGACAATGCAACACCAGTGCTTAGGCCCAGGCTAATCTCGGATGCGACGGAAGCCGTCGAGACTTGTCTCTGCACGCCCATCAAGGGCGCAGTGCCTTGTCCGGATGAACATTGAAAGCCTAACACTTATAGGGACTTAGGGCTTTAGAGATCTCTGTGCTTAGGGCTTACGGCTCGGAATGTATGGGTTTCGTCTCTTCAACTTTCAGGGTGTGCCGGTTTAGGGCTTTGGAGCTTCGGTCCTGGCAACCCTCCGTCAACTCTGGACCCAAGAGTACCCTAGGAATAAAAAGGGTGCCCTGCTTATAAGGGAATCCGAACCCTAAAAAAAGGAATAAGGGCCTACTCTGGGTCCTAGTCGCGCTTGGCTCCCCGCTTATGACGGTGATAGTCGGTGCTGCCTTTATGATCGCGCTAATTGTTGACTTCCGTGCCCCAAATGTTGAACAAGTAAAGTCTGGCCAGGGCTAGTTCTGCTTAAACATGTAAAGGCCACCTATAAACCCCAAAATCCTGCTGCAAGCCCTTTCCAGAACCAGTGGCAAGTCTTCCGACCTCCAGAACTCTAAACCCTGCACCCTACACCATGTAACTAAACACCTAAACCCTGCTAGCTCGAGTACCCCTAATATGCCCGGTATAAACCCCTACAAAGCCGCCCCTAAACATACCTTTTCTATAAAACCCTGTGAGGCGGCAGAGAAACTCTCTACCCAAACGGCCCTAAGTACCAACATCGTAGAATATATACCCCCTTAGAACCACGATAAGAACATCATTTTTACAATTCTCTTGGGTTTGATATGAACAAAACAAAAAACCCCTAAGAAGACTATAGGAATGTGGGTGCCTATATTAGGAAGTACCATTATGGTTTAGGAAAGTATCCCCCGTAGAGTACAACAAACCTTTGGGCTTTGAGCCCCCACACAACCCCTAAACCTGTAGATCCCTTATAGAGCCCTTATAGATCCCTTTAAAGGAACCCCTAGACATCCCTTTCAGGAACCACCTAAGAATCCTACCAAACTCCCCCGCCCCCGCCGGAGCCGCCTGGCAAACACTAAACCCCCTAAACCCGCCTAAACCCTACACCCCTAAAGCCCTAGAGCCCTAAACTCCTAAACGAATAAAGCCCTAAACCCTGAACCAATGAAGCCCTAAAGCCCTGAACCCTCAACCCCCAAACCCTAAAGCATCCCTTTTGGAGCCCTCCTTGTGGATCCCTTTAAAGGAACCCCCTAAAACCCTCAAAACCCCGCAGGCAGCCGCCTGGCTGGAAGGTGGTCCATGCCACGGTGGAGGGCCAAGCCGGGAGGACCAAAGGTCGAAGCCGCCTTCTGGGTTTGGGACTCTACAGAAAAAGGCTATAATATTTACTTTAATATATGCAATGAAATACATATATATATATATATGTGTGTATATATGCATATATGCATATGTATATATATATATATATACAGACATATACATATATGTACGTGTCTGCAATCCGTAGGATGTGTATATATATATATATATGTAGGTATGTAGGTTTGTAGTATACCTATAGATACACTAATAACCAAGCACACTAGGCTTATATCATAGTAGGTACGATAATATGCCCAAGACCGCCTTTGGGGTGTAGTGTCTCAGGGGTGTCGGGGGGGGGGTTGCGGTTTAGGGTCTAGGGCTTAGGGTTGAGGGGATTCGGGCTCAAGGTTGGATACCTACTTGTCGGGTATCATGGGGAATCGGAACTAAAGGTTAACCTTTTTGGTTATATAAGGGTTATACAGGGACTATACTACCCAAAAAGGGTTAAAGGTTCCCTACTCTACTACTAGGGTTGGTAGGGTTTATAAGGCTTTAAATGGGGCTCTAGGGGCTTAGGGTTGATTTCCAGGACCCTCCTTGTACCCTCAAATAGGGGTATATGGTCCCAAATAAAGGGCATTTAGGGTCTAATAGAGGGTAGATGGAGGGTCTAGGATAAGGGTTACACCAAACTCTCTTAGGTTGTGTGGACAGAGGTTTAGCTTCTCCAGCGGCCCGCAAGGGCACGTAGAAGAGTTCCGTAAACGGTTACGGTTTAGGGTTTAGGGTTTGGGGTTTAGGATAAACTAGAAGGGCCCCCCCCACCCTGTAATAGGGACTATAAGGATTATATTAGGGCCCTAGTATATTCCTATTATACCACTATTACAGGGTGGGGGTCCCTTCTAAGGGCCATAAACGTGACATTAAATGATGTTGAAACCTGAAATCCTCTCAACTTCGTTGGTTAGCCTTTGGGATGCTGTAATTAGGGGCTACAATGCCCCCCAAAGGGTTGAAGGTTACCTACCCTACTCAAAAAAAAGTCAAAACAAAATTCGCAGAGTCGAAACTTTCCGTGAGGGATGAGACTCGCTACATGTCTCGTGATATCCGCACCAGCGACCAAACCTCGATTGTTTTTTTGCTCCGTGGCTCTGCGCTGGATCCCTGCACAACCAGGGTTCCGATTTTATTTTTGGTCGAGGTTTACCTAGACCCACAAAAGTAAATAAAATAATGGCCCAAAACGCTATAAAAGGCTGCTATTCTACATACTTTGAGGGTCCAGGTAGGGTATTGCTCAGAAGACCCCCGAATCGGAAAGTTGTCAGGGCATCCTCGCGGGACCGAGCCCACCTCTCCACAACCAAG